TGCCGCTATTTCCAGCCACTCCAGAAATCTATTTATACAAAACTCTCTCCTTCAGCAAAAGTCTCCTCACAAGATCATGCCTGGGTACCTCAGTCCAGAACTGGAGCACCTGGAGGTAACCAGAGCTTTAGCAGCATACGTTCTGTATTGGAGGCCATGATTCAGTGCAGCACTCAAGCAGCTGCTTGGCTTTAACCCTATGCACACTTGTATGCTTATTCAGCAAATGCTCGAGGCCAGGCTTACATTTTGGCTTGTCCTTAAATTACACGGAAGCCTGTTGGGCTCAAGCACACGTTTCGGTGCTTTGTGAAATTGGATCCATAGTGATTAGTAACCCAGAAAATATCCTGAGTATAACCATATTCTGACAATTATATTTCACTTGGACTTAATTTGCTTGAGCACAGCACTGCTATAAGTGTTATGAATACAAATGTTTCCAAGATGCTTCTTTGGTCCGAACTTTCTGAGAAAAAAAAATGCTGAATCTGTACATTTTCCCCTTGATACTAGCTTTCCTAATAAGTAGTTAAGAGATACACACCTTTAAATTTTAGACATGAGACCTGTGCTCCAGGAGATGTTCATTAACTTTAAAAAGTCTCTAGAAGGATTCCTGCATTGTTTTGGGAATCAATGCTGATCACTTCTTTTTATCCAGCTGTGCATTTCTTACAGCAGAGACCTGTCTCCAGGTTCTCCACCACCACAGAGACAGTCTTCAAAGGTCATTTAAGAGATCTAGGGAAAAGAAATCCAACCAAGGGCTGATTTCCCTTCAGACAGGCCTAGGACTGAATTAATTTAGTTTGGTTCATTGTGCTATGGATTTTCTTGGTAAAAATTCACTGCTACTGAGAAGCTCAGCCAGAAGGCTTGTTCTACAACCTGCTACCGAGATCCTTGGACAAGCTCTCCATTTTATTTATTTTTAAAAAGCCTAGTTTACTTACTATACAAAATATCTATATCAACAACAGCAGAACGTTCTTGTCACTGTGGGAAGTATTTAGGCAGATGAGTGGTCTCCTCAAAAGAATATATAAAAGAAACTCATATACAAGCAAATGATCCTATTTACTGTAAGCATCTCAAACATCCGTGAGCATGTTTCAGAACACATTTGCACAGGGCAGGGACTGCTCATAATAGATTAGTTGGTCTAACTTTAAATTCACAACTTCAGTATGCACACAGGGCTTACTCATGACTAGGAAAAACTGTTCTCGAAAGTACACTGTTGAAAATGCCTACCTGAATAGGCAAAAATGACAGTATATGGAACTAAAGTCTCTGTTCCCCTGCCACCCCAGCCCTCCATCCTTGTAATTTTAAATTTGACTTAAAAGATGGGTAAATGCTGAGGAAGAGTCAAAGGGTCAGTCCTGCCATAGGTAAACAGTGGGGTGTTCAGAAGCTTTCCGCAGGGTTTTGTTCCAGGTTTGTGTTTGTTTTGTAGTGGAGGTTGTTTTGAAGGGGACTCTCCCCCACCACCCCCGGGCATATTTCACAGGAACATACGCAAACATGCTGCCCTCCACAAAACGGTACCACTGCAGACCTTGACTATGATGTTCAAGAGGTCAGTTTTGTTTTATTTATTCAGGACTTTTATGTCCTGTAATGAAGCATCTTTCTTCTCTCTTACTAATACGATTAGAAGGTGTATATTTCCTGTGGAAGGCACATTGATGATGGTGCACGTACCCATTGTTCCCACACTGTCGTAGGTACGTGAGGGAAGAGGGCTCCTTTAAAGGTTCTCCAACTCTTAAATGCTCTAGAATTTTCAGCAGTCATAGAAAATAAATGCAATGCGATATATTCTTTTTACCCATAAAGTAAATTAACCATGAAACACCTTTGTAATTAGGAGATTAACTTAGATTTTCCTGCATGAAAAAAACTTGCTATGGCAATGATTTGAAAAAACAAAATGAAAAACAGTTCAAATCTTATACGTGGAGCAATTTCCCAGAGATTACTCCCAGTAAAGCTTCATAGTTCCTGACTCAATTTCTCTGTTTCAAGATTCTCGCTCTTTTTCTCATACGCACACACACGTTTCAGAGTTTTGCCTGGCATCCATTAAATAACCACTATATATCCTTTCCCCCCACCTCCTCCCCCCTTCTCTTTCTGCTAGGTTCTCTTCTCTTTTTTTCTTCCTTCCCTCTCTTGTTCTCTTGCCTCCAGGACCTCATAGTTACTACTTCATGCCCAATCGCTCCTATTCAGTCTTGTCTCCCTTTCTCTCTATCCACTCGTAAGGAAAACCTACCAGAATGTGTATTCTCCAAGCACTCTTTTCTTTTAAACATGAAGAGGAGTCATCTGAGCCTCTCTCTTAGCAAACAATTGATCATTTCTCAGTTGAAGAAGTTTCTCATCTTTATGTATTTTGTATAACTTTTTAATAAGCTTTTGTTGTCTTATATTTTGGTTGTAAAACAGGAGTTTTGTAGGAAACCAAAAGAGAAATGGTGTCATTCTGTTAAACACAGGTTATAACCAAATGTTCAAGTTCTTAAAACCCCCAACTATTTCTTTAGTCTGTAATTCACCTATTAATAACTGGTTAATCAGAGTTACAGTTCCCAAAATGTGCAGAAATGCTATGCTAGAGCTCTGCGCTGCTTAACTTTCAGACACACTTTCTCTAATGTCACACACGAATTCCCTCCCTCCCTGCTTACATGCATATTCAATGGACCATATGCTTGATCTCAAATATCTCCAGGCATTATGGATCCTATTCATCAAGAAGTGGCTTGTACACTCATGAGCAAGAAAAAAAAGAGGCCTTTTCAAAGAGCATTCAAGAGTTTTCTGAGAAAGAAATCCCAGTACACAGTGACCTGTACGTACTAGGCCGCGGTCCACTTTAAACTAAACCCACATGTTTCTGCCGAAAACACACACACAGGCATTAAGAAATTCTCATTATTTCACCATAAAGGGTGTCTGTATAGAGATCTCATGAGGGATTTAAGCAGGAGCTTATTGACAAATACAAACCTACTGATTCCTTGGAATCCAAAGGGGAGTCAAAAGAAAGCAGTTTGCAGGGTGACAAGGCAGTCCCATCGTCAGCCCCAAATGCATGACAAAAGCAACGGCGGCTCCAAAGCCGACACACCAACTGCCTCTAGATCTACCATGCAGCCAGATGCTGTGTTGGGAATTTTTCCCTGACTCTGTGGCATATGGGCTTTGCATTGCCATTTGAAGAGTGCAAGACAGACAGAAACAATCTGGAAGGGGTGGGAAACTGATGGCACATCAGCCCTTTGCTTATGTTTGCTATTTGGTTGTTAGGCTGTGTTTAAATGCCTCTTTGCCCTTAAGATGAAAAAATCTTCACTCAAACGAAGACCTGACATAACTGTACTAGTTGCAGTGCAGATAGTGGAGGGATTAATTTGTCAACTTGTTTGCTTGGTTTGCTTTGGGTTTTTTTTTTTTTTTGGAAGTTCATATCATATTTCCTCCACGTTGTCAGGGAAAGGCAGGAGCAATACAGGATTATATTTAAATAGAAATTATGCCACACACCTTTCTCAAAGCCACAGTAATCTGTTCACTGCCTTGACAAAGCCAGATAAACAAGTCTCTGCAAACCTGTCACTTACTGTAACCTGTTCCAGCTAAAGCTAAGAGGATTCCATGTGGGATTAATTTACAGGTACATATAGGTGTAGGATCTGGCCCTTGCTTCATCAGTAAGAGTCGTCTGCCATTGTACGACTGACCTGTTTTTCAAGTGCATGAAGAAGGCACTATGCAAGCAGCTGACAAACTGCTCAGCACTGCTACTCTAAGGTAGCAGCTCACAGGTAACATGGGATTTCCTGTTCTTCTTTCCTGCAGCCTTTATCCATGAATGTCCAAGCCCTCGACCACAAAGGGTTTGGATTCCTACAAACGAAGGTGCTGTCAGAAAGGAGGAGGTAACTAGGCTGTCTCCATTAAAAACAGCTGCTGCCTGGAGGGAAAGGATCTGGAGTCACCAGCAGGAGTTGAACTGCTGGTGGAAGAAGGTGATGAGGCCAGAGGAGGAGGGGAACCAGATGGCAAGGAAACATGTACAAAGCTAAAAACACCCGGCAGCAGAGGAACATGTGCACAGCAGGAAGAAGAAAGAGAAGAACAGGCATATAAGTAGCACTGCAGAATATTTGGGAGTTTTTTTTTTTTTTTAAGAAAGCTAAATCTCAGGCAAGAAATATAAATGTGCTTGAGTAAGAAAACCGTGATGGGGTATATCAGTGCAGAAGGGAATTCCTACAGATATATGGGAGCTTTTACAGCAACAAACAATGTTCCATGCCTTTTGGTCTTCTTCATCCTTCTCATGAGGGCTTGGTCTGGCAGTTGTTTGCATTCAACCTTTTCTCAACTAAAACCCACCTTGTAATCTTCTTGATGTGAGAACTTTCTTCTTCAACTCTTTTCACTTCTTACCCTTCACCCACACTTAGGCACACCTGCCTTCTGCACCCACAGCCACAGAACATGGATCAGCCCATGGGTCACCCATGAGGCAGGAAAAACTCTGCTCCTGCCACCACAGCTGCTCTGCTAACTCTGGAGCTTGGAAGATCATGACAGTCATTCAAGAACTCATCATATGCTCATTGCCCCAGTTTGCTTAAATGGCAAATAGGAATTCTCCTATCCAGCTATTCCTGACCTAGACAGCACTATGTGAAAGGAGGAATGGAGGAAGGCCATGTTTTTACACCAACTACTCCCAGCATCATTTGCACAAAATGTATCTTTGAAAACAATAGGTTCTACTAAACCTGGTCAAAGAAGTGATGTTCAACTCTATTCCACTGCCCATGCTTGCCCTCAGTATTTGTATGTCACAGTTGTTTTTTTCCACAGCGAGTAAGACTTCTCTCAGTGGTTTAAATGAGCCGGAGAAAAGAAACAAGAAATAAAAATAAAAATAAAAATAAAAATAAGTGAAAAGCAAGGATTAAATTTCTTACCTCATGCATGCATTGGCTGAACTACAAAATGTATACACATGAATCTTGAATGAATGCTTGGCCTTTTCATTGTTTCTTCATTTATTGTTCTTTCTCTTCGATTTCTCACTCTATTCTGCCACATCCGTTTAGATAGTCGCGGTTCAGGCTCTCCCTCCTTTGTCGAATTCTGACTCTGCAATCAGATATTTGCAGAGAAGCTATTACTGTCAGCAGGTCTCTAACAGATTTGGGTGCATGAATGGCCCTGTCTGGAGTAGGGTCCTTGATTTTACTTAAAAAAAAGAAAAAAAAGACTAATATAATAATACATTTTTAATTAAACCATCCACTACTGCCATGGAAAGCACAAGAAAAATTCTACCCTATCTCCACAGCAGTACTGCATAAAAACAGAAAGCATGTCTTCATACTTGTGGCTTTAATGGTAAGAATCTTACAGATATATACAGTATCATTTAAAACCTGCTGCGCTTATACTTTCACCCTGTGAGTGACTCCTTGTTATAGGGCTTACAATGGATTAGTTTCATCTGAAAATATGAGATAGAAAGATAACTCCTTGAGTATGCTGAGCGAGGTAATGCGATCTTGTTGTGATAAGAACCTGGTATTAGTTGATTGGCATAAAACATCATAGATTTATTTATAGCATATCAAGAGTGACAATGATATGGAACAGATTCTCAAAGGAATTCGGTTCCCAAAGAGATAGTTAAATAAGGTCCATGTTTTCAGAAATGCTTGAGTCTTCAACTTTCTCTCTCAAAAAATCCTGACCTCTGCTTCCTTTTGTCCAGGATACTTAGCCTTAGAAAAAGGTGTATCATTCCACTTGTGCAGTCCCATTTCACAGACAGCCTCAGAGATAAAGCCACCCATGAGGATTTTGCACATCTTTACCTTTCTTTGTAAAAGCATAAATAGTACCGAAGACATTTGTACTTTCAGTTGCAGGTGTGGGTTTGACCTGTGAGCCTATCTACGGGCTTAGAGCAGATCTAAAGCAGTCAGAGGTAAAAGCAACCAAGGGCAGAAGCCTTCAACCCTTTTTTACATGAACTGCAAGCCCCCATCCTACTGAACGAAAGGGAGGTGAATGCAGAGAGGACTCGCAAGTAAATAGCAAGCTAGATCTCCTCACTTCCCTCCTTTTTGCTTTTGCTTCCAGGCCAAGTTCCTCCAGAGAGCAGCATAGGTCCGACACAAGCTGTTGTCATTCAGTTCAGTAATTCAGCTGATATAGAGACTGTTCTAGCTGAATCCAAACACCTACCTTCAGGTGCAGTACAGAAGCAGTACAAAACTTAGAAGAAAAAATGTTTTTGCTCAGTTAGAAGGTTTTTAATCATTCTATCATTTTCTGAGGAGTGTGGAGAAGGAGATCAACATTTTTCAATTCCAGAAGCTGCTTTTTATCTTATTATTTGGACATCATATTATAATATTCCCCATGGGAAAAACTTCATTAAGAAATTTGGGAAAGAACAGAATCCTCACCCAAAACATAGTTCCTTCTGGAAATGTCCTGATGATTTTTGGTACATTAATTTAGTGTTTGATGACAGTTACAGAACCAAGTTGATGAATAAAGCAGCTCTTCCAAATCAGATTTCTAAAACCTTCAGAAATGGGGAAAATAAAATTTAACTGATTGATCAGAAACCAGAAAGACTGTGGCTTACAAAGAGCTAGTGAAAGCCACTCTACAACATTGCTCTAATTCATTGTTAATATAACACCACTGATTGCAGTAGACTTACAAGAGCAGTTCACGAGTTTCACTAAATTGGAAGCAGTCAGAAGTTTAGCAGGTAAAAATACCCATTTCTATAATAGCACATTCAAAATTTGTTTGAAACTTCTCCTTTTCTCATTTTTTTCTATCAAAAATACACTTAGAAAGGGAAACAGGAGGCATCAAGGTTCTTGCTGTTCCATATCTCAGCTTTGCAGCTCAGTTTTGTCCCACTAATAGTGAATAAAGTCTACATGCCAAACAACTCGTAGTGGAGGAAAAGCAACTGCTTACTGACGTTGCTCCCTGCAGCACACAAATCTCCTACTTTTGCAGAAAGAGAACGAATCCTTGCAAAAAATACACATGGAGTTTGATGCTCAAGGGGTATAAGATTAGGTCTAGTGTATTGACTAATGAAATAGCCTGCAGGCCTTAGGCCAGCAAGGCTGCTTGCCAGTGACTTCATTAGGGTTTTTGTCTATGAAAGGGCTGCCTGTTTGGATCCTGGAAGCTTGCATCAATACGTCATTTTGTGTGACTAAAGTAAGCAGAAAGTATCCAAAGTGCTGGCCAGTTACAGACCTCAATTTGCCTCCGTTTGCAGGCAATGTCACTCTTAGGAAATCAGGTTTTGATTTGATCTGGAGCTCCTTTCAATAGGACTTTCATCACTGACTTCAGCTGACAGGTGCCTCATGCAGAGGTCCCCATTCACTCTTACACAGGTTCTTCCTACAAAAGACACGGGCAGTGATCTCCTTCACAGACTTTGTCCAGGGCTCCCAGAGACCCCCCAGTCTTTGCAAGTCTCAGGCAGCCCTTTGTAGCCTGAGCATGAAAACCCTCCCCATTCTCCACTCTCGCCTCATGGCAGCAGGGCATCCACGAAGCCACAATGCCAGTGACACCCACATCCCCTCTGAAAGCAAGAGAGAAAGCAAGGAGGAGGATGTCATAACAGAGGCAAAAACTATTCACAGCTGGCAATATTAATTTGCATACTTACTTTACAAAATCCTGTGAGATGCAATTCCAGTGGTTCAAGGGGAAAAAATAGGGAGAATCTAGCAAACAACCCCCTGCTCCTTGAGCTTCAATGCTCTCTGATATCAACAAGACAGTAGGAGGAGGGAGAGACTAGTTTGGTGGACATTGACTTAATAAAATTACTTCTGAAGTTACAAAGTTTGTCAAAGAGCAGATAAAGAAAGCAGAGAAACTAAGGATAAGTATCCCAGCTCCCTGAGTTAGCACTGTACACAGTTACCTACAACTCCCTCACTCATGTAGGATTAAATCAGGAAATGCAAGAATGTAGAATTCTTTGCTGCATACTAAAAAAAAATCAAGCAAGCATTTCACAGTTCTGTACTAAATGATCATTCTTTTTTTTCAGAAAGTGCACTTTTTTCTTCTGTATTCACCTTTTTTGCCTGCAGTTCACTGAAAATATGCATTTTAATTGACCCAGACTCACAACATGAAAGTCTTTGTTAAAGGACAAATTCAAAATAATTATCCTACTAACGGAAATAAAAAGTGGAATTATTTCTGGAGACTTCATCTGCCCTCACTGCAAAGTAGGTCTAATGATTTCTGAGAATTTGTTAAGTATTTGTGTTATTGCAAACATGCTGTAGGTGCCATATACGTATTTTTATTGCCCTGCTGAAGCAAAGTTGATTTCATCAGCTTACCTCTGACATTAACATTCAGAAATTTCTTAGTCATTTCCCCATGATGACCTCACAAAACATGCTCTAAAACAGTGCTGAAGCCATTTGAACAGTTTCTATCCTTTCTTTTGTGCACCCCGGTCCTAAAATCTTATTCCTTTTCCTTTTGCTCTTCTTTCCTACTCTCCCCTGTCTTCCCCATTCTTTTTCCCCCGACCCTGTGCGCTAAAATTTTGAATTAGTTGCGTTTATCAACTTACCTCTTAAAATACATATCCTTGTAGCGAAGCGAAAGGACAAGTGAAAAGCACAAAGTCTATTTTTAGCAGTGTAAAATGGGTCTCTTTTTAACCTATAATGGATCTGCGAGATTAAAGGTGAAGTCATGAATTAGTAGTAGTGACAGCCCAGCACGATGGCCCCGGCAGCAGGGGGTCTCCCTTTGTGTTCGTCCACTCTGACCTCCAGTGCCACTCTCTGTCTGTGGGAACCGGACAAGAAGAATGTTGGGGTGGAGTCAGCGCGCTCAGAAGTGGCAGCTCCTGCTCCTGGCCAGAGGAGAGCTGACATTCTTTCCCTGCAAATATTCTGACATCACCCCGTCATACCTCCTCAGTCGTTCATTCGTTAACTCTTTTATGCCTTACAACCGAAAAAACAATAGGTTCTGTTACAGGACAGAGGAGGAGGGGAGGGAGGAATCTTTCCCAAGACAACTTTTTCAGATACTGTTTACCTAAGGCACTGTGATTTTTAATATCAGGAGGTCAGTGATTTTCCAGGAGTAGGTCTGTGTTGCTCTAGATTCTAGTGTGAATGACAAATAGAAGTGAAACACATCTGACAATGCACAAAGATTTAGTCAGGTTTTTAAACCTGAATTTCTAAAACAAAAACAAAGAGCAACCCTACCGTAAACTCAATTTGTTTAACGCCTACTTTTTTTCCTAGGAAGTATGTCAAAAAGACCAGTTAAAGCCATCGCAAATGTATCGTGCATTTCCAGTTTTCTCCGTGAAAGGCTAATGTAACACAGCATCCCACACATGCTTGCCAGACTAAACCAGAGAGAGAGGAACAGAAGTAATAGCAGGCTGCTTCTTGAAATTTCCTCTTCTGGGGAATAGCTGACAGCAGAGAGAAAGCTACGTTATCATGCAAATATGAGAGAGGCTGGTCTTCCTGTTCATATTCTCTGAGGTATATTCTATCCTCATTTAAATCTCCTGTGGTCTCAATGCAGTGTTGGCATCAGCCTGTTTTCCTGGATAGGCAAAACTTTCCGTGTTCCTTCCCAGTTAATGCACTAAATAATTTTGTTAAAAACAACAAGATCCCTCATTATTGCCAATTTACCATGTTGACGAAGCAAGTTTCACATTTCTGAACAGACTTTCTTGACACCTCTAAAGCGCTTCTACTGCGCCTACTATTAGAGCTATTTGAGCGCGTATTGCATCCCTGGGTATATAACATGTGCGCTGAATCTGACTGGAAAGGATGGCCCCAGGAAGTTGACAGATGATCGTCCCTTGAAAATCATCAGAGGATCATTAGAGACGATTTCCATCTCCGGCTCTCCCCCACTTGAGGGTTTATCATTTCTGTGACACTGTAAGTTCTGGTGAGAATTCACTGTCTCTGTGCCTCAAACTTCTCCTCAGGAGCTTGTCAATCTACTCTGTGAGAGTCAAACGGGATTTTGGCCCCTGAAATAGCACATAGACATTTTTCAGATGCCTAAATCCAAAACTGTAATCCCTTCTCAGAGACTGTCTAGCCCTGGAGAATTATTTTCAGGATTCCTCCCATCTTGGTCTAAAAGATCTCAGGTCACTCAACTGGAGCAGTCTTGCAAATGGTTCCTCTTTAAATTCACTTTGCAGGTGGGATATACTTCTGGGATTCATAAGAAGGGAGTCTTGATCTAGGAGGCCTTTGGAGTAGAGGCTAGGGCAGGAAAAGTCTGTGCTGCAGCTTGCTGTTTCCTAGTATGGCCCCATTTTGTCTTGTCTGCTGCTCACCAGCCAAAGAGCCCACTAAGCATAAAACAATCACAGAGAAATTGATGAACGGTCCACATGAATGCAGGGGAAAGACAGGACAGAGCAATAGACTGAAACAGACAAGAAAGCTCATCCCAGACTGGCATCGTCCCTTTTAGCCCTAGCCTTTTTTAGCCTATACCACAGGAGGACTGTGTGTACCATCGTTTCCATGGGAAAGCAACAACTCAGAGGACTTCCAGGAGAAACAATCCTTTCCTCAGCCCTGAGCAGGAGTGGGTACAAAGCTGAAGACTAGAAGGGATCAGTAGGTAAGACGTCCAGATGGCACAGCTTGGAACAGCTTTCTGAGTAGAGATCTGACAGCATTTCCACACTAGCTCGTTTCTGCTGTGCACTATCCAGTCATACTTTCTGCAGATCTGCTGGACTTTTTTCCCAGAATGGGCTCTATCCCTTTCTGGCATCTGTAATTCTGCAATCCATAACGCCACATTTTGAAGACAAAGAGGAAAGTGCATTGAAGTTGTACCTAAGTGGCAAGAGAAGAATGCGGGATTCACATTGCTAAGTGTCGCTTAGCAACATAACATGTGAGGAATATACCAGAGCACAATGAGTGCTGGACCAAATGGGACACTCGTGCTCATGAGTTTCCATTTAAATCACCTTCAATGTAATGCCCTCCAAGCCCGTATCATTCTGAGTTCAGGCAACATCCAGCAAAGGGCTGAGCAAGCTAAGCAAAAGGGGTTGATCCTGAAGATGGCCTGTTTAAGGATACTAAAGATCCTTAAACAGACTGTGGCTGACAAACGCAGGCAGGATCAGGACCCCCGCAAAATGCAGCGTTAGTGTACGTCTAGTATCGATGATGCTTTTCTATGAAAGTCTAGAAGATGGGAAATTTAGGTGCAATATTTCCTCTGCCTGTGAGAAATCAAACTCACATTTCACTCTTCCTAAAGGAGAACCCAACCTCTACATGGCCGTACATACCCAACAGGAAAGGTGGGTGATTTTACAAGGGTGATTTTACTCCCAGAACATTTCCCTGGAATATAAGTCGATTCCAGGTCTCCCCCCTTCTCAACTGAGGGCACTCACCACTAGGCTGCAGAGTCATGTTCGTTCTGTCTGGCATGCCATGGAAAGCGAATGCCTGCATGCTCTGTGGAAATACTTCAGAAAGCAAGCTCCTAGCTGGGCAGTGAGCACACTCCAGGAATGTGAGATATGCTCACTTCAGTTCCCCCCACAAAGATGAGAGACCAATCGTGGAGCCCCCCAACCCCTGGGCAAGTACTCTGGACACTGGATTCTTCTCTTGCCACTAGACGGCTACAAAGGGTTATATTAAACACTGACTGTGTTTTACATTTAAAAAGTGAACTCAATTTTTTTGGAAGAAAGCTTCTAGCGTCCTACTTTGAGAGGCTGTGGAGTACAAGCAGGCACAGCTGACACCCCTGGGCTCTGGGGAGGGTGCTGAGGGGTGTACCTCGCTCTGTTCCTTCCTATTTTCTAGTGATTACTACAGGCAATGCAGCTCATTTTGGATTCTTCCGTACACTGCTTAGGGACATAGAGGCATGGCATAAACAAAGCTTCGGACCCCATTTGTATGGGAAAATGTGGAAGAATGTCGAGGCGATAGGCGATGGAAGCTAGCCAGACCGTTCTATGGGAAAAGGAGCATCAACAGGGCATGTTGACCCATAGTCACGCGGTTGAGCCCATGCCAGTGTGGTGTAGCACCTGGGCTGTGAATCGGAAGTAGTGATGAGCTCAATATGCTTACTATGCATGTGTGTAGTCCATAAAAACCTCATATAATGCCTGCCCCAGTGTTCCTCGCCATGGACCGAGGCTCAGCAGTGCTAGGGACTCTCCCGCTCTGTTATTGCCTGGATGGGGAAATTGCTGGGGAACCCCAGCAATTGAGGTAATAAACACTCAGTATCGACCCTAGTGTGCCTTGTGCTTGTGTATCTGTCTCTGCCGGGAGACCAGGCGGTGCCCCCGCCTTACCCTTACACCATTATGAGGAGCAGTGGAGAATGGGAAGCCATTCCCCTAGGAGTTCGTTTATTTTCTTAACTTAAAGGCTTCAAAGAACTATCCTGGATTTGGCCCTTGCTGCCTGATTTCCAGGTCTGCTGGACATATGCCTTGAAAGAACCTCTAAAAAGCATACTGCTCCTAATGCTACTAGACCTGTGGGCAATCAGGGCAACCACAAACAAATGTAAAGGGTCCTTAGTAAATAGGTACTGATCAAACGACTGCCCATATGGTGTCAGACCCGAAAACAGATTTACAAAGAACAACATAAGAACAGAGATGTTCATAGCTCTGGGGGATGTTTTCTTCTTTACCAACTGGCTTCCTTTCTGCATAGACCTCAGAATGATTTTTTCCTGAGTTTCTCTTTTGGGAAATAAAGTAAGCCCTGAGGTGAGGAGTGTGAAAAGACCTTGTGTATGTAGTCACTCCCTGCAGACAAGTGTGCAGGTCTGTTTGCAGATTCTTTAAAAAACACAGCACAGCACATTGGAACCATCTAATATATCCTCACCCACACAAAAAAGGCAAAGAACAGCACTGAACTGACAGACCAGTGAGGTCAGCACACCTCATGTTTTGTCAGATATATGGTGTTTCTTAAAGCCTGAGCTCTTGGATTCAGATGGTTCAGTGAGACTCTTAGCTTTAAGGAGGCAAAAAAACCCGATATACTCAGGATTTGGAGAACAGCTTGGAAATAACCACTTTACTAATGGTAATATCAAATGACGAGCAATAGTTAACATGCCAACAATGAGAAGTACTTAAAAATACTGTTTATTAAAGAAGCATTATAAAGATCTTAAAAACAAAAATCCTGTGATTTTAGAGCCCATCTTAAGTTTCGTGGCCCTTGCTGCATATCTGCTGAATGGCAGAGCTTGAGTATCCTGCCCTAGAGCTCTGTGTACTCCCTGTGCAGCCTGGAGCCCCAGGACCTATGCTGCCCTGGGGCCAATCTCTCCCTGGTTGCTCATTAGTAGCTGAAGGGGGGACCCAGAGGAAGGTAATCCAGTCCCAAGTTGTATTAATCTCCAGCTCCATTTCCATGTGAAAATCCCGAGGGGCTGCAGCTTCCCTAATCACTGGTGTTAAAATTACAGAAGTGCACGGGATGGGGCAAGCAGAGTGATTTAGTACTCTGTTGAGCCTCCTGCCTTCAGCCCTCTCCCACACAGCCCCGGAGAGCAGGTGACAGAGCTTCCTGTGTGTGTAAACCCAGTAGGCGTAAGATACACAG